AATAGTAATGGCAATAGTAATAACAATAGTAATAGTAATACATCATCACCAAATATGTCAACTTTAGTAGAGGAGGATTTTAATACAAATCCACCTGATCAATATTCAAAGAAAACTTAGTAAGTACTGTTTTTTTATTATTTTTTTTTAAGAAAAGTATTAACGTTTGGTTTTTTTATATTTTTAGCCAAATGAACAAACAGGGTAGTGTCCAATGGGTTACAGTAATTGAGCATAGCGAATCTAGAATTCCTGTTAAAAAATTCTCTGATACGTTTGCATTGATGACTAGCGCATATGATAAATTGGCAGATTTAAGTGAAAAGTTTATGGTTTTATCGAACACAAGCTAAACAAAAATATAAAACAATAAATATATAAAATAAACTTTACCAACCAAAAGGATGGTTTAATTGTCATTCCTTTTTTTTTTACCTATGATAATATGGTTTAATTGTTCCAAAAAAAAAAAAAAATCTGAACCTTTCCAATGATAATGGAATCTTTTCGGTGGATATCGTCTATGGCATGAACCAGAATGTGTTAGTAGAACCTATTATCAATGAAAGATAATCTACCTATTCAAATAGAGGAGTTTTTTTTTTTTTTTGAATATGAAAAGATGCGAGGTCTATGGGCGGTGTTAATTAAATAAATTTTCTTTATTGTTTACTTTTTAAATAAATTTAAAATTTTTATATATTCGTGTTGGTTATAAATTGTGTTTTATTTTTTTTTTTTATTATTTTTACTATTATCATTATTTATTTAATTTTTTTTTTTCTTTTTTTTGAATAGAGTAGTTGGTTTTGAAGAAAATGTTTTCTTTAAGTTTATTTTTTTTTTTTTTTTACCTATGATTTTTTTTTTTACCTATCATAAGACGCGAGTCTATCGGCAGTGTTTATTAAATTCTCTTTATTGTTTAATTTTAATTTTTTTTTATAATATATAGCAATACCTATTTGTAAAATGTTTATTTTTTTTTTTAACCCATAAAAAGACCCAAGGTCAATGGGTAGTGTTAAATAAATTATCTTTATTGTTTACTTTTTAAAATTTATAAATTTTTAAATGTTTGTATTGATTATAATTTGAGTATTACCTTTTGTTTTTGTTTTTGTTAGTATTATTATTATTATTATTATTATTATTATTATTATTATTATTATTATTATTATTATTATTATTATTATTATTATTATTATTATTATTATTATTATTATTATTATTATTATTATTATTATTATTATTATTATTATTATTAGTATTATTATTATTATTATTATTATTATTATTATTATTATTATTATTATTATTATTATTATTATTATTATTATTAATATTATTATTATTATTATTATTATTTTTATTATTATTATTATTAATATTGTTATTTTTTTTTTTTTTAAGCTTTAAAGTTGTTTCTAATATGGAGTTGGAATAGGATATGTGGACTTTGCCAAGAATTGTTGAATTTGATTTATAAAAATTAATGTTGTTGTTGTTGTTGTTGTTGAGATTTTCATTTTGTTGAATTTTTTTGATTACCTTGAATTTTCCTAATTTGATTAGGTTTGAGAATTCCTTTTCGATAATTATTGGATCGAAGGGGGCTGGTTTCGTTTCATATAAAAGGCTATAAAATGTTTATTTATTTATTTATTTATTTTTTTTTTAAATAATAACATTTTATGGGGTAAGGTTTAAAGAGTGAGATAAAAGATTGTTTAAGAAGATGGATTATGATGATATATCTTTTTTTTTTTTTTTTTTCTATGATGATACATCTTGGAATTCCATATTTTTTTTTTTTTTATTATATAGCAATACGCTATTTGTAATATGTTTTTCTTTTTTTTTTTTTACCTATTATTTTTTTTTCATCTTTTTATGTTTTTTTTTTTTTTTTTTTTTTTTTATTATATAGCAATACGCTATTTGTAAAATGTTTATTTATTTATTTTTTATATGTTTTTAGTATATGTTTAGAGGGGTTTTTTTAGTAGAATGTTAGTGGTTTTGTGTTTGGGATGTGGTGGCAGTTCCATATGTGATTTAAGTTTGAGATTTTTTTTTTCCATATGGTGTTGTGAGTGGTTGTTGTGAGGCCAGTTTTGATTGCATGGGTGTTGAGTGAGAGAGCGATCTTGGAGTATTCCATGTTGATAAGTTTTGTCCATTGTGAGTTGACTATTTCATAGTTCATTTGCTGGGATTTGATCAGTTCTTTTTCTTGAATGGAATTCGAGTGGTCGAAGGTTATTTTGCAAATCCAAGTCCAGATGTTGTGTAGTATTATGGATATGTAGTTTCGATATGCTCATTTTTTTTTTTTTACCTATGATTAGACGCAAGGTCTATCGGCGGTGTTTTCATCTTTTTATGTAGATTTCGTCGAAATTTCATGTTTTAAATTTGAAAAATATGCTTGATGGGTTTCGATCCCATGACCTATTGATTCGAAGTCAATCGCTCTTCCGAACTGAGCTACAAGCACATTTTAAAATGTGATAAATAGCCACACCGTATTTTGATAATTACAATTTTTTATATTATTTTTTTAAAGATTTGAACACATCCAATGAGGTTATTTAAAAAAATTATTAAGGGTGAGGTTGTGCCATTTAAAATGTTAACCCCTATAACTATTTAATTAATATATTATAATTATAATTAATCCCAAAAATCACTAACCAAACGTATATTATTTCTCATATTCGCATAGATTTCAAACAACTATCAACAATTCATTTTGAAAGAATAAAAGAAATTTTTCAAAAAAAATCTTGCTTTAAAAAAAAAACTCAAAAAAAGATAAAAACAAACAAAAAAAAATTATCAAATTCAAACTAAAAATATCAATAAAAATGGTGCCCGTATCAAATTATTATTACTGTTTGTAATTAAAATCAAATTTCACCAGCCACGTAAATGACTCAAAACATTATTTTTAAACTTTAATATAGCCTATATTATAAAACAATAAACACGAGTTTTATTCTCGAGGAGGCATCATAAAAAACTGTGACATTCAATTTAAAAAAAAAAAAAAAAGTAAATAGATGAAATTAACTCTCTAAAGAAAATTATATTTAACAACCCAATGATTATTTATTTATAATGTCAAATAATTTGGATTCGGTTTTGCTGACCTATTGCCAAATGTAAAGATAATTTAATTTCACTATTAATCAAATTATTATTTAACTATAATACCAATTGTTAACAATTTTCATTGAAAATCAAAATAAATAAATATTATATATTAAAGAAGATGACCTTTATTTTTTTATTTCCAATTAACATTTTACCTATTCTTCATAATTAATTTTGACATATCCTTATAGGATTAAGTTATTTAAAAAAATTCATTTTTTATAAAAAATAAAATAAAATGAACAACCAACCAATTTAGTAGATAAGGATTTAAAAGATCTATTTTTTACAAAATGATTCAAAAAAGAATTAAAAAAACATCGATTTTGTATATAATTAATTATTAATTTATTCTATGTTTTGGCTGTGTATATTCAATACATGTTTTTTATGAATTATTTAATTTAAAATTTTAAAATCAATATTGAAAAAAATCAATTAAAAAATATACAAAATTGGATCAAAACTAAAAATGTGTAGTAAACTTTAATTATTATTTATTTTTTTTTTATTTCGTTTTTTTTTTTTTTATAATTGGTAATCATTTCAACCCATTTTTAATAATATAAATACAAAGAAATGAAAAAAAAAAATGAAAATAAAAAATATTAATTTAATTAAAAACTTAAATATGTTCAAACAAAATATAATTGTTTTATTTTTTTTAGTTTTATCTTTAATTGTTTTTATTGGTATGCAATCCTCCTACTAAAAAACATTGTAATTTTAGATAATGTTATTAATAATATATATTTTTTCTTTTTTTTTTTTTTTAGGTGGTTACCCATGTGATTATAATGAAGGTTGTGATGATGGAGATGAATGTACAAGTGATTCGTGCTCAATTGAAAGTTTATGTGTAAATGTTATTATCTCATGCGATGATAGTGATGCATGTACAAGTGATTCATGTTCTAGTATAACCGGTTGTTGTAATACTCCAATTTCATGTGATGATTGTAATGCTTGTACAGTTGATTCTTGTTCTCCATTGAATGGCTGTTGTCATACTCCAATTTCATGTGATGATTGTAATGCTTGTACAATTGATTCTTGCTCAAATTCAACTGGTTGTTGTCATACACCAATCTCGTGTGATGATTGTGATGCTTGTACTGTTGATTCTTGTTCAAATTCAACTGGTGGTTGTTGCCATACTCCAATTTCATGTGATGATTGTAATGCTTGTACGGTTGACTCTTGCTCTCCATTGAGTGGTTGTTGCCATAACCCAATTTTATGTGATGATTGTAATGCTTGTACAGTTGATTCTTGTTCTCCATTGAGTGGTTGTTGTTATAATCCAATTTCATGTGATGATGGTAATGTTTGTACAAATGATGGTTGCTCAAAAGAAACTGGTTGTACTCATTCTCAAATTTCATGTGATGATTGTAATGCCTGTACAATTGATTCTTGTTCTCCATTGAGTGGTTGTTGTCATACTCCAATAGTTTGTGATGATTGTGACGCTTGTACTGTTGACTATTGTTCAAATTCTACTGGTGGTTGTTGTCATACTCCAATCTCATGTGATGATTGTGATGCTTGTACAAACGATGGTTGCTCAAAAGAAACTGGTTGTACTCATTCACAAATTTCATGTGATGATGGTAATGCTTGTACAAATGATGGTTGCTCAAAAGAAACTGGTTGTACTCATTCTCAAATTTCATGTGATGATTGTAATGCTTGTACAATTGATTCCTGCTCTCCATTGAGTGGTTGTTGTCATACTCCAATGGTTTGTGATGATTGTGACGCTTGTACTGTTGACTATTGTTCAAATTCTACTGGTGGTTGTTGTCATACTCCAATCTTATGTGATGATGGTAATGCTTGTACAAATGATGAATGTTCAAAAGAAACTGGTTGTTGCCATAACCCAATTTCATGTGATGATAATAATGCATGTACTATTGATTCCTGTTCTCCATCAAGTGGTTGTTGTCATACTCCAATGGTATGTGATGATGGTGATGCCTGTACCTTAGATTCCTGTTCACAAATGACTGGTGATTGTTGTCATACTCCAATTTCATGTGATGATGGCAACGCTTGTACAAATGATGGTTGTTCAAAAGAAATTGGTTGTACTCATTTAGATACTTCATGTGATGATGGTAATGCTTGTACTCTTGATTCATGCTCACCAACAACTGGTTGTTGCCATACTCCAATTTCATGTGATGATGGAAATTTATGTACCATTGATTCATGTTCAAGTTTAACTGGTTGTTGTCACACTCCAATATCATGTAATGATTTTAATATGTGTACCATTGATATTTGTCTTCCAAATGTTGGTTGTATTCATAGATTAAAACCATCATGTTTCGATTATAATGAAATTGGTATCAATATAAATTAAATAATGAAATTTAATATTTTTTTTTTCTGTTCAGTTAAAATTGTGTTGGTTTAGAAAAAAAAATAAAAAAAAATGCTCAAAATAAAAAAAAAAATTAAAAAACACGATTTTTTCATTGTTTTTTTTTTTTTTTTTTTTTTTTTTTTTTTTTTTTTTATTTTTCTTCTTTTATAGCGTATGTGTATCAAATATATTTAGAATTTAATTAACCATGAATACGAATGCATCTGTTTTTTATGGATTGTAAGTTTTTTTTTTATTTAATTTAATCTAAATTATTTAAATTTTATATTAATTATTATTAAATTTTTTTTTTTTTTTTGTTCAAACAGTGTTGGATTAACAATTGCGTGCTGTTCTGCATGGTATATTGAAAGAAGAAAATTTATGGTTGAAAAGAAGAAAAAGATAGAAGAATCAGCTGAAAATGTAAAGCAAAGACAACTAAAACAAGAACAACAACAACAACAACAACAACAACAACAAAAAAACAATGATACTATTGAAACATATAAACCATATGATGAAACAAATACAAAAAGAAATATATCCAATAATAGCAACCTGAAAAATTAGAAAACATATAAATCAATAATAAAAAATAAAATTAAAAAATTTAAACAAAAAAAAAAATGAAATAGTTAAAAATAAAATGATAAACAATAACAATATCAGTTCCAAATTAAATAGAATAATAATAATTTAAAAAACATCAAAGAATTATAAAACCTTTAAAAAGCATAAGTGAATGAAAATTAAGATTTTTGAATTTAAAAACCACTGTCACCCAATTAATAAAGAAAAAAATAAAATATTAAACAAAAACAAAAAAAGACAGAATTTGTATCAAAAATTCAAATTATCAAAAAAATTTAAAAACAAAACATAAAAAGAGATAAAAAAAACAAATAAAATTAAAACAGTTAAACCCCCAATTTTTTTTTCTTAATTTTGAATTTTTATTTTTTTTTTATTTTTTTTTTATTTTTTTTTCAAATTTTTTTTTTTTTTTTTTAAAAAATTCACAATTTTTTTAATATAAATTTGAAAATTTTTTTTTTTCCTTTTCATTTCTTTTTATTGCGAACAAAAGGTTAGTTCGAATTAAAATATGCATTTTTGTTTGAATCAGCATTTTGTTTTTGTTTAAATTAAAAATAAATTACATTGTTGTAAACGATCGGAGACACGAACAACAATGTAATTATGGATGATAGATCGATAAAAAAAAGGAATAAAAAATAAAAATAAAAACAAATAAAAACAAATATTTTATACATATAAATTTTATATATGTATAAAAAAAAAAAAAAAAAAAAAAAAAAAAAAATTAATAAATAAATAAAATATAAATAGAATAAAAGAAAATGTGATCACAGTGTTTTACTATTTAAAGTTTTTTATTTGTTTTCTTTTCTTTTTTTATTTTTCTTCAATATTTGAATACACTCTTTATACTTTTTTTATATTCATTTATCTATTTATTTATTTATTTATTTATTTATTTTCTTTTTCATTATTATATACAATTTTCTTTTCATTACTTAAAAATGCATTTATAAATTATTCATTCATAAAATTTATTAACCTTTTATTTTTCTTATTATTTATTCAACTATTATTAGGTTTATTAAATTTTATTTTTTTTTGAATCCTGATCAGTAGCAAACAAATAATTACATTGTCAAATTGTTTAATATTTTGGAATATAAAAGAAAAACAAAAATATTCTTCAATTTGCAATTTAAAGGAATCAAAAAAAAAAAAAAAAAAACGATAACGATAATTAATAGTAATAATAACAAATTATATAATTTATAAAAAAAAAAAAGAGAATTAATTGCTCTCTATTTTTCTTGTTCGACCACCTCATATTTTTATAACATTATAGTTCAACTTTTATTTGTATAACAAAAAAAAGAACATCAAAAAAAAAAACTTAAAAAAAAATTTCAAAAAAAAAATTTTAA